TTTAACGACAGAAATGGACATAGCTACTTATTCTAAAACAAATAAATGCAATTTTATTCACTTCGGAGACTTTTTCAGAATCTTAATATTTTACTGTTATCAAAAGTTGACACGCCAAACAATTATTCTTTTTATGTATTTTAGGATTAAAATTAGAACATAACTACACATTTTAAGGCATTTACAAATTAAGGACCATTGTATTTGGTCATAATGTCTGCAGGTTGAAAGTTGTATTCTGAAGCTTTTTTTGTTTAAAAGAAAACTGACAATTATATTGTGAATTGAAAAAGTCACACTTCCTATCTTGAGTCGATTGAATTGTTACATTCCTACTCCTGACCTCATTCTATCCTGACTGTCAATGTCTAGTATGAGATTTATAATGAATGAGTATTTTCTCTGAACAGTTGGATCCTCCTGCAGATGAAAATGATCACAACCGCAGGATCAGAGAATACAAACAGTGGCTGCTCCAGCAGAACAGGTATATTAAAGCCTAATAAGAAACAAACCATTTCATCTGTTAGCTGCTTTTGTTGGGTTCATCTGCAGTGTTTAGTTGTTTAATAGTTGAAACACATTTTTGATTTTCAGAGTCCACCAGAGATCAGTAGAAGTGGCTCGCCAGCGTCTAGAGGAATACCAGCGTACTCTTCAAACACGTCACAACATGACTTCAATGTCACTACTGCCACAGTCTGCTGTCACAAATCTGGAACTCTGCTACAGACCCCTGCATATATCTCAATCTGTACAACCCCCAGCTTTTCAGGACACATTTACCTCACCAAAGCCTTCACACATCCATCATGAGGCACAAAGTTCCACAAACGCCTACCTAAAAGAATCTGCTGTGCAGACTTTACCTTTTCATCTTCAAGGTTCACAGATTCTGCCTGGTGAATTGGAATCTAGCTCCAGAGTTTCCAGGGTCCATGGACCAGAGTTGACTGCATGCTTGTCTGAAAACATAATGGAGAAAGTGACAGAGCATCTTCCAGAGAGAGTAAAGCTCACCTCACCCACGATACAGACTCAGCCTCACAAAGCTTTTCCTGCCACTGTACCACTTCATCCACATCCACCTAATGACCTGAGCCAAGGAAGTGGACCAAGCATCAGATACAGTCCAGCACTGCCTTCAGATCAATCAACGTGTATTATGCCTGGCCCTACAGTGGATGATATGGAGCGGTGTAAAAGTGAGCTGCAGGATATCCAGAGGTGTGTGTGTGAGCAGAGCGAGGTGCTACAGCAGAGGCAACCACTGAGACCAGACCTGGAGATGGAGCAGATGAGGCAACAGAGGGAGACTCTGCAGGCTCTGATCAATACAGACACAAAAGTGAGTGAGCTAACCTGGCCTTTTATGTTTATTAGAAAAATTCACATCATTAAAATTGAATTTTCTAGAGCACTTTTAATTTCCAATTCTTTTTTTTTCAGTCCTCTCTGAAAGCAGATGCTGGGGGACAGGTTTCAGAGAACATTCGTCAGACTCGTCTCAGGTTACTTGCAACACTGTTAAAAGCTGTAGAGGAGTCTAATGGAGGAACATTATCACATCTAGAAGAGCCTCAACAGAATGATTGTTTCTCTGAAGGACTGCCTTGTGACAAAGAGACAGGTATTGAGATTTTATCTCAAATATTTTTAAAAGATAAAAAAAAGTCCACTTTTGGTACATCAGCTAATAATACTATACTTTTCTATAATAGAAATATATCTAATTAACTGTGATAGTTAACTTGGCCGTTTACACCTTAATATTATCTCTTCAATTTCATCACATTCTATTATTTTATTTGTCTTTTCAGATCTCATTGTTGAAACCAGTTCTACTGCAGGACCTGCAACACCGTCTTCCTACCTGTCAGGGTTTCTTCCGCCAGCTCGTGCAGCGAAGCCCCCGTTGACCCGCATGAGGCTGGGAATCACAGCGATGAAGACCAATCAACATGAGCTCAGTGTTATTCCAGAGGTGCAGACACCGGTCGACAGGAGCAGATTCACAGGTCGGCTCAGCTGCGTGAAGATGGAGAAATGTGTTGTTTTTATCTCATTAAATAATGTTATGTTTGAATTTTTGTTACATTTTTTCCAGGCTTGGAGAATTTTGAGAAAGGTGTTGATTGGGATCTGCAAGATGAATCAGGTTTATCTGTGGCCCGTGACAGGACACTACACACACCCTCTGTGTCCAGCGGAGATCAACAGACTGCTGAAAAATCATCAAGCTCCAGCACCTCCAGCTACCTGATCTGGAGAGAGAGACTGCTGACGGGTGCATGGACATCTCCAGAGTCTTCAGAGCCTGGTTTGTAAATTCATTAGAGAAATAATCAAGATTCAATGCATAGTGTGATTAAATGTTTTTTTTTTAAAGATTCTTTAAGGAAGAAAATCTCATCTACTTCCTCTGACTCTTCAGGACCTGACGTCTCTGGTCCTTCAATCACAAAGTGCAGATCACCCCAGGAAGTGACGGGGTCAACTGAACATGTATGTCACACACTTGCCTGCTCTGTATTAGGGATTATATGTGATTTATGTTCATTTGTTCTTGCGGCTGTGACTGTAACTAAAGTGAAACAGTTTAATTATCAGTGCTAGCATTCCTAGCCATTTTTAGAAGTTTGTCTCGTCTTAAAGACCAGAAAGTCAGTCAGTTTTGTTGGTTTCCTTTTATTCCCTCTGAGATTCACAGGATGTGGATCGATGATGAAGATTAGCCAAATCTGAACCCTGAGACAAAATGACTCAGGCTATGATTATGTCTGAGAAGCCTTTATGTGTGTGTGTGTGTGTGTTAAAATTTGTCTTGTCAAAAATGTGTGTGTGTGTGTGTGTGTATTTTTCTGAGCAGTGATGTGAACTTTAATAACCTGAAGTGTATTTAATCAAATACAGTTTATGAGGATTTCTACACTTGAACTGAGCTCATCAACACTTTGTCTTGTCAAAAATGTGTGTGTGTATGTGTGTATGTATGTGTGTATCTGTGTATTTTTCTGAGCAGTGATGTGAACTTTAATAACCTGAAGTGTATTTAATCCAATACATTTTATGAGGGTTTCTACACTTGAACTGAGCTCATCAACACTAAAGGCAGTTCTTTATTAAGAACTGTGTATGTGACTTAATATTTAAGTGTATTTTTGTGGTGGTCTGTGTGTCAGTCTCCTCATAGGCCTCCAGAGTCTGATGGCTTTTCTTCTTCGACTCTCTCCACTGGGAGCTATGTAACCACTGACATTGAGCAAAACACGGGTGAGACACAAGCCTGCATCAAAAAAAAAAATCTGAATTTTTATTATTAGAATTGTTAAGTACTAGTTCTTATTCTCTTTTTTTCCTCAGACAAACCTTCGGTCAGACCTGGCGAGAAACAAGGAGAAGTTAATGATGTTTGGTCTTTATCTGGTCAAAGGATCATAGTTAACGACACCTTGTCAGCAGCTGGTTTCAGTCATGTTACTGAAGAGAATTTGGAAGAAGATCAACCTCATGTTTCCCTCAAACAAATGTCAGCTGCAGCTCATCCTAGTTCCTTTAACAAGGAAACTTCAGCAGCACATCAATCGGGTTATTTTGTTAAAGAGCATTTGATGACAAGTCAGCCCGATCCCATGGTAGAGAACACTTTGGCTTACGGTCCTCCTGGTTCCTTTGGCGTGGACAGTTTGACTGGAGGTCATCCTCACTCTGTTGTTGAAGAAACTTTGGCTGCAGGTCTACATAACCTGATTGTTGAGGACACTTCGGCAGATGGTGGTCCTGGTTCCTTTGAAGAAACTTTGGCTTCTCATCCTAGCGTCTTTAAGGAGATGTCAACTGCAGATCGTCCCGACTCCATCATCACAGATACGTCAGCTGCAGATCATTCTAGTTCACACGTTCAGGACCAACTGGATCATGCTCATCCTGATGCCCCAGCTGTGGAGTCTTTATTCAATGAAAGCAACATCCAGAGAATCATTGACAAATACATGAAGGAGCTGAACTTCTCTCTCAGCACTGCTGGAAGAAGCACAGGTAAAAACACATAAGGAAGTTAGTGCTAGTGTTCGGTCTGCTGGATAAAAACACAAAATATAATTTAAACAAGATCAATGATTTAAAACACTTATTAATCAAGACTAGAATTCAGTAATGTTATAATAACATAAATTACCTAAGATGTATAACCCGGTGTCACCATGTTTTTTACTTTTAGACAGTGAAGACTCATCTGCAACAGAGTCTGGATCTTCTGTCTTACAACCTTCTCCTGCTAAAAGCCCAGAGAAGAAAGACGACAACGCTGACAGTCGGCAGACTCTTCTTCCTCCTACAGCAGAGACACAAACACAACATGAACTGGTGAGTGTTTTGATTTAAGAAATATTATTAGAAATCAAAAGTTTTTTTTTTTGTTTTTTTTTACTTTTTTACTTTGTCTTACAGTCACGTGCTACAGATCCAGTCCTGGAGCAGTCATCACAGGCTGAGGACTCATTCAGGCCTCTGATTGGTCAGCTTGCTGACCAGTCCTCTTTTCTGGCTGTTGACTCTGCCATGGAGCAGTTGGTTGGGCAGCCCTCAGCTCAGTCCTCAATGATTGGTCAACTGCCAAGTGGGTGGGATTCCACCCTGAGCCGAATGTTTGGTAGACTCTCCCATCAGTTCAGCTGTGGACATGACTTTTATTCTAGTCAGAGAAGTGGTCCAGTGTTGGCAGAACAGTCGACCACCTGGATGGACGAAGGGCGAGAGGAAGGTCAAATGAGGCCACTGGCTGCAGAGCCAGACACTGATCATAACGGTGGAGTCTCAGGTGAGGAAGGAGGAGTTGAATATAGTTCTAATAATATTAATAATATAGAAATATAGAATAAGTTCAGCCAAATCATTCAAACAGTGTAAATTTACACCAACTTGACTCAGTGATAAAAATGTCGCCTTCTGTATAAAAGTGTAAAAGTGATAAAAATGTCGCCTTCTGTATAATGTTGTAGAAAAGCTGATTTTTTTTCTCCATCCTTCTATTACATAAAATATATCTACTTAGACACAATTACTTGTGAGAAAAGATTAGTCTTCAGTCTTTTATGATACAGTGGCTCATACATGTACTAATAATAGAATTGAATCCATGTTGAACTGGAAATTGTAAAATTATTTTCTGAAAATGAGAGCCTGAGTTTAACCCCTTTTCTGCTTGTTGTTGGTGATTTTACCACAGTGAATCCTGGTGTCTCAGCTGAAACCTGCTCACCATCGTACCCAGCGCTGCCTCCTGAGGCTTCAACTCCCAGCACATGTCTCCCAGGGGAGGATCACCATCCAGAGCAGCAGATACGGCAGAACCAATCCAGTACAACAGAGCTCTGCCCAGAGAGAACAGGAGGTGAGGGAAGAGCAAACAGAATACAATCAAACTTGGGTGAAATGAAGCTGTTGATGTGCATAAGTGGTTTGATACACTTTGACTCACTTTTCACTTTATGTTTAGTTTTTCCAGATTCCAACTCTTTCCATCCTCTGCTGGCAGAGGTCACGCACAATGAAACTGCTGACCCCTCAGTGACCTTTCACCTGCTTGAACACAAAGGCTCTGACTTGCCTGAAGACGAGGTGAATTGGGAGAGCAGTGTCTCCCGACCGTCTGAAGAGTCTGAGCCCAACACTGATGTTTCTGTGGAGAGTGAATCATCACCTGAGCGTCCGCGGGAAGAGAGTTCCCTACAGGAGATGAGTCCATACCAGCCTCAGGAGTCTGTCCTCGATATGGAGGACACTTTGGGGACAGACGTGGAGATCACAGCCTTAAATCTGTCGAACCTGAAGATGTGTTATGATGATGGTGATCCTGAAAATCCTCAAACTCTACATGCAGCCAGTGACGCCTGCACTGAAGGCATGAACACTCTGCCCTCAGAGCTGGAGAGGGAACTGCCTTTCTTAGAAAATATATTGGTATGACTTGTTGTTTTGTTTTTGTTTGTTTTTTTCACATTTAGAAAACACTGATAAATTGTTAACTTTGTCTAATATTCCATTTTCCCCTTTTGATTTCAGGATGTATCTGGTAAGAAAGGAATCCTGGAGCAGTCGGAGATCACGCTGCTCAGTGTGACAGACTCCACACTGCAGGACCAGGAGACAACGGTCACTGATGATGAGCCTTTGGAAGACCAAGACCAAGTGGAGGAGAGTCAGGAGGCTGAGGCCCAAACACAACCAGGTAACGTTGGCTGATAATGTGATTATCTGGAGAAAGCTCCAGAGAGAAGAACTCAACCTGCAGGGATTATGATTTTGTCCATCTTAAAAACAACAATGTTATTCTAAACATTACATTACATTAAAGTTTGACAAACTTGGAATAGCATTGAAAGTTTTATTCAAATAGATTTTGACTAGGTAATAATTTACATTTCTTTTCTTTATGCAGTGATGTCCCTGGAGTTTCAGTGGAACCAGGACAGAGGTCTGCAGCAGCTCAACCAACAGAAGTACAGAGCTCTACTGCAGAGGTCGTCACAGAGGCTGCAGGACATCAAAGACAAACGGGCTCAGGTCAAAACCTCTAAGATCAGAGATGTAAAACCTGACATCTGTGAGCCCGAGAACAAACCAGAACCTCAACAGAAGAATGTGTCCGAGGGAGGACGAGCCGAGCAGCAGGACCAGGTCCAGAAGCCTCCTCCAGGTCAGATCTTTTTGTTTTATGAATGTTAAACTCTTCACATGACTTGATCACACTCTGCTTCCTTTAAATTGTCTGTTTCTTCTTTTATTGAAATCCTGCAGTCACATCATTAGACAGTCACGTAGTTGACATTTTAAAACCAAACTGTTTGATACATCAAGAGATAAAGTATTTAAATAAAATTAATTAACAGTAAGTTAATATACATATTAAAAAAAAATTGTTACAGCTTTAACTCAAAAATCCAAAAAGAGGACGTTAAAGATGACTCTCAATGAAAATGTCACCTTGTGTTTCACTTGTGTATTTATCTGATTTTTGGGCTGGGGTTTTTGTTTTCTTTCAGTTAGTGACTGCAGGCCAAAAACGACAGTGGAGTTAAAGATCCTCACACCAGAGAAGAGAAAACACAACATCTCTGAGATGTATCAGAGAACTCAGAGGTACGGTTAGCATGTGAACAGCCATTTAATTAAGGTCTATTTGACAAAGCTGTGGTGTGTTTCAATGTCATGTTTGTGCTGTCATCCCAGTTTTGTCAGAAAATACATTCCTGGAAGTTCAATAACTACAAATCATTAACTCCTGGTTTCATCCTCTCTGACAGACTGTACGAGCAGCTGGAGGAGGTGAAACAGCAGAAAACCATCAGAACCAGACAAGAGGCTTCTGCCAAAAACCGCCTGAAGGCCATGGAGTTTCACAAGGTAGTGTGTAAGAGACACAGACTCCACTGCAACTGCACACAACTCTCTGCTAAAGACAACTCTGTTTCTACACCTCTTTACAGAAAACCTTACAGAAGCTACGAGCCAAGCAGACAAAGAAGTGATGGGTTCATTTAATTATTAGATTTTTATTTATTTTTGTACATTTTTAAAGTTTGCCAATAAAGATTTTAAGTTATTTGAATCCTGTTGTATTCAACACTAATCCTTGGTTCCATCCTAAAACATTCATGTCTAATGTTTAACCCTTGTGCGGTCCTTCGGGTCTAGGTGACACATCTGTCTTTGTGTCTGTGCACGTGCGTGTGCACGTGCGTGCATGCACATGTTCCTGTACTGCACGACTTGTGCCAACTCCTCATATTCATTATTACTCATATTCTGGGACAAACGGTGTGTACAACAATGCGAAGGACCACACAAGGGTACACTCAACAAATTAGAATAAGTTAAAAAGGCTCAAGTTTAACAGGTTTAGCTGTAAATACAAATGGCTCACATTTGACACTGACTGTTGTACCTTTGTCTACAAAGGCCAGCGAAGCCTGAAGGAAGAATAGACTTCTGCTTCTTACTAGATAAACTTTACAACAGGTCACACACTGATCATACTGAGACCTTCAACACGCCTTGGTCCAACAGTAAATAATCTGCACTTTAACTGGCTACAAATGTTTGACTCAGTGGTAAGTTTTTACCTTTTCATTGAAGCGTTAAAGTGGGAGTTGTGACGTCAGCTTAAGGTCGATCACAGTAAAGCCTTTTGCCCTAAATTCCAATCTGCACGTGGCTGAAACATACACAAAGAAAACAAGAATTCAACACAGACCAACAATCAGCTCGAACCAGGACTTTACAAACTACGAAAAGCATTGTCTAACATCACAGCCAGTACCTCAACCATCAATACATATTACCCACTATCACTTTAATGTTCCTACTAGTGACCACCAGATGAGCTTTGGATCCCAATGTCTAAGGTTAACAGTCTGAGATCACCTGACTGTGGTCTAATTAAAAACAAACCTCTCAGATTACAGCTGTGTGTCCCTCCAGACTATTTTGGTGTTAGGATGTCTGTGTAAGAGAAGACAAAAATGGTTCTTCTGCCCACATAAAGGCCACAGTGGAGGGAAAAAGTGTCGCTCTGGTTTTTAGAGTTTGGAGAACGTTACAGCTTTGGGGCTCTTCTTCTCCATGGCAGCCTGGGCAGATTTAATCAGATCTTGTGTCTGGAGCATGCTCATGTTCCATGTGGCCTGGAGGACAAAGGTTAAAGAAGACGTTGATAGAACACAAAGACAGGAGCAGAATCAAAAAGAGTTGTTTAAAAAAAAAGTATGATTTTTACCATGTAGTTCAGCCCCTCGTCCACACTGTGGTCCCTGGAGTAGATGAGGTTGGCTTTGGTTCCTTGCACTGCGACAGGGCTGCGAGCAGCAATTTCTGCAGCTAGCTCCAGAGCTGCAGCCATCATGGCCTCCTTGTCTGGAAAGACTCGGCTAAAGAGGAAACATTAGTGTAAGATGACTGGACGACCACAGGCTTTAATCTGCAGAATTACTTTAGAGATAAAGTAAGTAACGGTCACAGTGTTGATGAGGTTACCTGACCAGTCCACAGCTCTTGGCTTCATCTGCAAACATCTTCCTCGCTGTCAGAGCCAACTCGTTCACTAAACTGGAGAAGATGAGAGTGTAGTCCTCAAATATTTAGCCAATTATTTAGAGTAGACAGTAGGATTGTATTTAAAAACAATGAGTGTAACATTCTGTTCTACAGTTTTCTTCTGTTCCGGTGCTGTTGGTAAAGGGATTTTAAAAATGACCTGTTACCAATGACCATACCATCATTTGGTATGTGCCAACATTGACATGTCAATGTAAACTAGCGGACAACAAAGGCATCAATAACAGAACATTTTGGCCATGACCTTATGACCTAACACCTATTTTTGTCTAAGTGTTATAATCACCTGCGGCTGCCGATGACTTTAGGAAGTCTCTGAAGAGTCCCAACGTCTGCTGCAAGTCCAATGTCCACTTCCTGTGAAGAAAGAAAAATAATGTAGATCACCCTGAGTAACATTTCCCACCGTCCATGACGGAGTCGACCTAATGTGAACCTTTTTAAATAGTCAGGCAGATGAACGTCTCCTCACCTTCACCTGGAACCAGGCGTCCTGAGAACACAGACGGATGTCACAGGCTGTGATCAGGTCCACACCTGACAGAGGACAACGACTGTGTACGTGACACAAAGTAACCCCCAAAAACAATCACTCCTCTGTTTGGTATGTCATGCTTCAGGTGTGTGTCACTCTGTCTCGTCTATTTTCTTATATGGCATGTGATATGATATGAACTCCATCAATGTTTCCATTAAAGAAGACGTTAAAGCTACAGATGAACATTCACTTCAAATGATCCTGGACTAATAAAAGTCAGTTCACTGCTACCAAAAAAGACTTAGATCTAAGAGACACGGTTAAACACAAGTGACACAATAAGTGACCCAGTCGTTCTACCTCCTCCGATGCAGGCTCCGTGGACGGCCACCACCACAGGTTTGGGACACTACAAAAAGAAAAGGTTTATCTTTAATCTTATTTTTAATTTCAAAGTATAAATGAATAAAAACATTATAATGAACACGTATTCATAATCACTGTGAGGTCATCACTTTGCAGTCTAAAGATTCTCAAACAAAACTTTTTTTTCCCCTACAACACTGTACTATTTTAGGAATGCCTGACACATTTACATTTTCAGACATTTGTTAATTAAGTGGGAAAAATAATTCACATCTTCTCACCTTTTCAATGACAGAAAAAGTTTCTTGAAATTTCACGATAATTTGTCGGAGGTTCCAGGAAATTCTTGCTACATCGTCACCCTTGGGCTGAAGAATTTCACCGCTCAAGTCCATCAGGTCGACACCTGCAACGCAACACAACCGATAAAAACACAACAAACTAAAAACAGCACCTGCAGCCATCGAGGACGACCGTGTGAAACCCACCGGCTGTGAAGATCTTTCCTGCCGCAGAAACCAGCACCACTCTACAGTCTGGGTCTGAGGAAATCTCATTAAAGCACTCCACCATCTCTCTGTGGGATAAACAGCAAAAAACGTGTTACTGGGAAATAAATGTAGAGTTGAAAATTAAAAACCTAAAGAGTTTTTAAATGTTCTGATAAAGTTCTTTTCAGGATTACATGGGATGCCAATGTCAACTGAAGTTTTTTTTTTTTTTTTTTTTAAAGGTTCTTTGATTGCTCTTGCCTCCAGAAGGCTTTGTTCATGGCGTTGATTTTCTCTGGACGGTGAAGCTCCACATGCGTGATGTTCTCTGCAGGGTGACTGATGGCCAGGGTGGTGTACGGAGAGGTGGGACCAGCTGAAGATGACATCGCTCTGACAGCAGAGTGAGCAGGCATCCATAAGGCCCTGTCTGAGAAGACGGAGGCATGTGTGAAAACAAACAGCAAACATCGTCACACTACAGCTGTCATTGTTATAACTACGCTGAAAATAGTGAAACAGAAAAGAGCAGAGCTGTAAATAAAATTTTTTTTAAAAAAACTCCAAGTGGTTGATCAATTATTTTAGTCATGCCATATGTGTAATAATGTGTAGATAATAAACAAACTAAGACATTCCAGAATTCTCTGGGATGCACAACACAGATCAGAGGTATGAGATCTGATGATACTGGGCTTTTAAACCTGTGTGGCTCTCAGAAATAAAAGTGCCCTTAAACATTAGACAGACAGTCTACTTATTTATTCTTTGTCTTGGGCGGTAAAACAATGTTAAAGGGGCCTTAGTTTTAACACAGTCGTTGTAAACTGGGTGGTATTTGGGTGAATGCACATAAAGGAGTAAAATCGAAGTAATTACAAGGAGCAAATACACAAAATCAGTGTCATAACTTTTGGTGCTTTACACATCTTCTCTGGTTTTATCCTCTGGTATTGGTCTTCATTACTTCCAGGTTTTCACGTAAGTAGGTTAAACTGAATTAAGGTTCATTTTTCATTCATTGGAGTAGTTTATGCTGTCGGGGCTAAACTGAATTAAGGTTCATTTTTTCATTGGAGTAGTTTATGCTGTCGGGGCAGCCATGATAATGACTTTTCACCTACATACGCTACTGTTAAAACCTCCACAGATTTATCTAAAACACGAACTAAAGCAGTGGTAAAGTCACACATTTACCTGAATAACACAAAACAAAAACAGCAACAAACAGGCAAACAACAGCAACAGAGCAGGTAACACTTACGTTTGTTAAGAGCTGATCTGACGACAGCAGACAACATCCCAGCTTCACCAGGACTGGGCCAAAGTTGAATTTAGCTCACCTTCACTAGCGTTAGCAACAGGCTAACACAATCGAACATCTGTTTATTACACTACGGTCGCTCGTGCAACAAAGTCTGCTTTTCTTTGATAAAAGACGGTAAGATAAGACAGAAAGTCGCGGTCGGTGATGGCGTATAGCACAACGATGACTGTTTATTAGCAGAGTTCGTCCAGCTGTGTTAAAATTTGAATTTTGGTATTCGTGTTCGTCCTGTGCGTCATTTGACGCTACTTCCGGTATTTCCGGCACTGTACTGTAGTTCAATTTTAAAAAACGAGCACAAAGTTTTATTTTTAAATCTTTTTTTAAATAATCAATGTAATTTATCTTTTGGTAATTCCTAAAGTTACACCTGCACGTGCGAGGCGTAAATAAAAATAGTGATACTCCGTGTCATATCTTACCCCAATACAAGACGCTTAGCCAAATACTGTATTAAGTACAACTAGATATAATAGATATAATTGACTTGTCCCATGATGGAACATTACAGATTTTGTGCTTATTATGGTATGATTTTAAAAAGTTTATTTAAACTGACCTCCTTAGTGATTTAGTAGCACATTTCCATGTCGGCATTTCCTCAATTCCCTGAAGGTCAGACAGCAATTACAACGTTTTTTGCTTTTATACCTGCATGGCTGCTGTGAACACAGGAAGAGGAACTTGTTCAGTAAATCAGTTTTTCTACTGAGCTACAAATGCACAACCGTATACAAAGAATTTGTTTTGAACAATTCAGTGTCAGATATTCATAGAGCACAACAACTTAAAGTCGTTTTTTTTTTATTAAAACAAAATTGTCACAGAACTGAAATGGTAGCAATAAAAAAAAAAAAAAAAATTCAAATAAAACTTTCAGACATCACCTCTTTTACAAACCACTGCACTACCTGAGCATTAAAACAGTTTTTCCCAAATACAAGCTCACGTGTTAGGCTACAGGACGAGCACAATACAAAAAAAAGAAAACTACAAAAAAAAAAACAAAAACAAAAACTTAAAGACACATGAGACACTGTCTATAAATGGCAAAAGGGGCTTAAATATCAAAACTTGTAAATGCCTGTTAATTGTATTCCATATACATTTAGATTTTGGGTCATTTAAAGGGATTTGTCATTGTGAAAGAATGTATTTTCCTAGTACTTTAAATACTTTTGAAAAAACAGTTTTGCAACAAGCAGTCTTGATTGAGGTACAAATTAACAACAGTGGACCACGCCTTGTCTTCTTTGTTCAGTTGGCATGTTGAACGGTGGAGAAGCAGAGTTTGAGGGTGTAAGGATACGGACCAGCTAAAAAAAGAGAGAGAGAAGTAAAAATAGAAAATCTTTAGGCAAAGCTCTGATGGTTCTGCAGACGTGTAAGAATAATCTGCTTTTGTCCAAGTTCTTTTAAGGACTTAGACCTAAACCTTAGTAGCAAAAGGATCTGGAACCATCCTGTGCTGGTCAACAGTGGTAATGCACCCGGTGAATTCCATAACTGGGGCTAAGGTTTACTATCACACAATTACCATCTGTGTGTGTGATCTTTAAATGTATTTGTCTTTAAACAATATTTGCGAACGTACTTGCGTTTTTCATCTGGAAGTGGTTAATCATGGCCAGGGCCTCCATGGCGTCATTGATGGACTCCCACTCCAGTAGACCGGATGCACTGCGATCACTGTTGGTAGAGCCACCTAGTGGAAACAGGATAACAGTGTTAAGCCATCCCAGACAAACAGACACACTAAAATTATGTACTTGTGTCACTGTTAATACAATCGGAATTCAACCTGATGAGAGACACTCACTTTTCCCTGTGAACATTTTGATGTTGACTGGACTCTTGACACCAAGGTCCTCACAAATCTGTAGAGACAACAGTGATCAAACAACACACCAGTTAAAACAACAACATATTACAGGTGCGTTCAGCTTAAAGGTTAGCCTTGAAGGCACAACTGTTCACAATATGTTTTTCAGACTGATAGAAATGAGACGGTGACCTGAATTTTTATTTTCTCTTTGTTTTTAGGGAAGGGTCAATTATTCTTATTGCAAGGGGAATATTTGTCAGCACTGGGCTTTTGTGGTTTCATTTGTGTTGTGCCTCAGAAAACGTTTTTTTTTTCTTCTTTCACTCAAACATAATTACAAATGCTTGTCCTATGTCGCTTGTCACAGACCTGAGAGAAAATCTCTGCAGTGACATCTGGCTGGGAGTTGAAGAAGTGCAGCACGTTGCTCGGGTGTTGGATGCGGTTTTTGGCTGCCTGTTCAGGTGTAGCAAAGCGGTTGTTCCTGGAGCCGTGGAAGTCTTTGAAGCTGCTGCTGCCGTCCTCCAGCTCGTAGCACTGTCCAGGCACAATGGCCTGCTGCTTAGAAACACTGGGGAGAGGCACGCGTACAGGTCAGGAGAACTGACAGCTGATGGTGTGGTCAGTAGAAACTGTAATTTGACTGTGACCTCACCACACATTCAGTTTCTGGCCAAACAGAAAGTTGTTGTTGAGATGAGTGATGGCCCGGTCCACAGCGTAGCAGTCACCCATCTGAACCATCGCTGCTCCAGGCTTACTCTTCATAAATTTGACCTATGGAAAAAGACATCAGATGGAACAGGAATGATGAGTTGTTTTGAAGCGCCTGACCTGACCTGAACAGACGGATTAGGTCTGTATCCGCTCCAGCTATGACAGGTTAGCTCAAAGGGACAGACAGACGTCGTCCTCCGTCCCTGAGACTCCTCTGTTGAACTACAGGATCAAATTACATCCTGTTTCAAAGCCGCAGATCCTGCTACAACTGTGTCACAACCGTACGGAGTGAAATGACACAGACAGAAGTACGGGTGTCATCATCACAAAGAAAATTAATCAGTTTGTTGTGTAACTATACTCTCAGCCCTACAACAGTTGCTCACGTTAAACAACAAGAAGAGGATTTATAGATTCCTGGTCACTGTTTTTAGATCCAGACCAAATCACAAAGTTCAACTAAATCTGCTGGGTCTTTTTTTTCTTTTTTAACGGCACATGAACTCCAGCCTCCAGGGAAAAAAAAAAAAAAAAAACCAGCCGCAAGTTGAATCCTTGTTAAAAACAGCCTTCCTTCGGAGTACACAACAGTCCACTGTGACAACATTACACACATTCCCTGCAGTGGACGTGCAGGTTACAGACACACACTTTGTTAGTCTCCCCTACAGTTATTAAAGCTGTCAGTGTCAGAGACCAGACCATCAGATACTGACCCGCTCTACGTTGCCATAGAGACAGAAGATATTGAAGACACGGTCAGCGTTCATCTTGACAGGATCCAGTCCGTAGACCATGACCACTGGAGAGTCAGCGTGGGCGCCATATTCTCCTGGGGGAGGTGGAGGTGGTCCATATCCAGGGCCGTAGCTTCTTCCTCCACGGCCTCTCATTGGTGGACCCATACGTCGGCCTTCATAGGGCGGGGATCCGTAGCTCTCGTCGTAGCCGTGGTAACCACCTCCTGGTCAAGGTTTAGTGACAAAAAAGAAACACTCATGAGCACTTGGTCACCATGGATGGAGACATAAAAAAACAAATTAACAACTGGCTCGACTCTTGGCTGCCACTGTGTGGAGAAGGTTTAATCAACAGGTTACGACCAAGTCATTTTCCCTGTCTGTTACAGAAAGGTCTCTATTTAAGAGCCGCTGTACAGTAAAAATTAACAAAAATTAAATATAAACATCTGTCAACAGACCAACAGTTTAAGATGCACAAAAGGTAAAACTGTCATATTTGGTGAAGGGAAATTCTAATGTGTCATTCAGACACAGCTGTTTAACTAAAAATACCAAACCAAAAAATGTAAGTGTCTTCACTGTCCAACTTCTTTCTACTGATTAAACATCTATTAACTTATGGTTGAATAATACAGGACAGGGGTAACTTGATGTGATTACACATTCTCATTCTTTTTTCAATTATACTTTTAGTTTGGGGATACAAAAAAAACAGATTTAAAACTCCACATATTAAAGATTTTACTGCTCATGCTGATTGGTCACTGGGTCAAAATGAAGACTACTGGGACAGGCTGGTATTAAATCAGTATTTTCTTGATCCCCTCGGGTGTGAGAGAGAGCCTTACCGTACTCTGGAGGGTGGTCGCCCAGCAGAGCAGGCTGTCTCTGGCGCTTGTTGGGGTTGGCATTCACATCATCTAAAAGAATAAGAAAAGGTAAGGAAAAAAGGGTAAATATTGAGAGATGAATATGACATGGTTTGGGACAACGCTGTCTGCACCTCTCCATTACAATGCATTTAGTAGCTACACATTTCACAACATCTGTCTCAAACAGCACAGCAGCCCCACTACCTGTCATTAGTACAAAAACATGCATTCTAAGACTAGTGGTTCTTTTATTTTAAGCACAAAACCCCCCGTACTATACAGACAGGCTTCAAACAAAGCATCTGTAATTAATATGAGTTGTGAAAATGAGGAGGGAGACGTGCAATATAACACATGGTATGAAAAATGTTTCTGGCCCTGACGTATAAAATCCTTCATCTGGCCGACATCTACGACAGAACCTCAGGCTTAAAATAAAGAGGGAGAGAGGAGGAGGACAGGGATGAGGTGGATGCTAATGATCGAGGAAGTGGAGGGGTCACCAAAACATTCAGTTTGGATATAAATGGCTTAATTTGAAAAATGAAGTTTGTACGCTCACACACACCTGCATTGCCTCCATTGCCATCTGCATCACCATCTGTACAGGAACACAATAATCATACACAATCAGTATGCCATGTTAATCATATGTACATTTCTGCTTGAGGGGAGATGGGGGCAAATGTAAAAAAAATAAAATAAAATAATAATAACTCCAGGTAAATTTCAAGAGGTCAGTAAACCCACAAGTCACGACAGATCTGATTTGGCTCCTGGAAAAAAATGTTTCAGGATAAATGTGTGTAGCAAATTACTGTTAGATGCTAACTGTGTCTGCAGACGACCAACCAGAATGCCACATACACAAGTGTTTGGTTTTCATTTCGCCAGTCAGTGTGGCTTCAAGAGTCTGACACTCTAATGGGTTGGTCAACGTGCATGCCACAGGTGTTGTGTTTACGCCCTCCCAACAACACCCACCCCACCCTCAATTATAGACATGAATTAGGACAAAACCACACTCAGATGAGATTCCAAGCTGGAGAGATGAGTGAAGATAGAAAAAAAAAAAACATTAGAAGTGTAGTCTTCGACAGAACCACAAACACCACCCTCATCCTCAGAGAAAGATTTGACCTGTGTGAGGAGAAAACTGGAGTCATGCCAGACTGGTGTGTCCATGATGGGTGTTTGGCTTTGAGGTTGTGTGGTGCTGTGCAGTATATCCCTGAGGAGGGGCTGGATTTACTTACTGCATGCTTACACACAGTGGGAGGGAGACATTTGCAGCAGCAGCAGCATCAGCAGCAGCAGCTCCACCACTCAATTCATTTCATCCCATATTCTTATCCATTTCCTCTTTTGTGGAAAAAAATCTCTCCCATGGTATTATCAAGTTGACGGCCACTGGCAGGTGGTCCTGGTATTTCCGTCCGTTTTGTTCCATTTTGGAATAGCCTGCTTAGCGCCCACTGGTAGGCCATGTGACTGCCAGAGAGCACATTTCAGGTGGGAATCCAGAGCCTCTTAGCCGAAATTGCCACACCTGCATCACATGGAAGGTGTTACACAGGTTCGAGAGACTTAGAAAAAGCTGCACTGAAAATTGGTAGCTAGACAGGGAAACAGTGTGGTGAGAAAACAGGAGGAAAAGGAAAAACTAAATTCCATGTAGGACAAACATAAGAGTTAAAAATAAAAATGTCTCTGAGTGGACTCTGAGTGTGGCTGATGGTGTTGTCAGCAGTGTCTTGTCTTCATCAGTTGTCTTGTTTTATCAGCTGGGTTCAGGGTGTGACTCGTCTACTGGATCAGTTGATGCAGCATCAGTGTCAGCATGTGATCTCAAAAAATGTTTTTTGTTTTTTTGGTTTTCATGTTGACCGGCGTGACGACAACAGGCGAGACCGAGGGCATTTAAGCACATGACAACGGTCGAGTGAGTGTGTGCGTCATCTGTTGTGTCGTCAATACTTTTGACTGAGTAGATGCTGCGTCTTTGCAGGTTTCAGTCTTCGTTTGGTGTTGGCAGTGGTGCTGGTGCTTCAGTGTGTCAGTCGCCAGTCAGTGTGTCAGAAATGAAGAAGGGGCGACAGAGGGGAGAGGGACCAAGTGTAGCTCCGTCTCCCCATCTCCCTGCCCTCTGGAAGTGTGCGTTGTCTTCGCAGCTCTGGTGCTGGAGTGTAAAGCTGTGCGGTGAGCTTTGTCAGTCCTACAACATCATGTTGCGTGGATGGTGTCTGGTGACGGGTCCCCGTGATTCAGGGAACGTTTGGACCTCTATGTGATAGTGGCTCACTGTAGGAGTGGATACTGGAGGTGGTGATGATCAGTTGCAGAGTGATGATGTCAGCATGTGTTCTGCACACATCGTGTCCTGTTGGTGTGGTAAACTGACTTGCATGTGAAATCACAGATGTAGCAGCAGACAGTTAACTGAGTGTGATCCTCGTCTGTCCTCAACATTTACAACAAAAACAGAGATGAATCAGACATCGGACCAACAAACACCGGTCCTATTGTCGGAGGCAGACGGCTGCATGGAGCACGACTCCATGAGCACAGCACAGAAATACTACTTTGGTTTGTTTAATTAAATGTACGATTACTGGGGGAATTTAGGGGGTAAATGGTACACAGCCAAAGAGGCCAGGATTATTTATTTAAATGTTTTCAACCTTTTGTCAGAAACTTGTAACCTGTTAAAAATTAGTAAGAATTTAAATTCTTTAAAAATTTGCAATGACTTCAGGAAATTCCAAAAACCCTTTAATTTTGCAGGGTGTGGAAGGCAGGAACGACAGACGCAGTAAAAACAGAACAGACAGGAGGGGTCTGGTCTCTGGCAGTAATTTTAGTAAAATGTGGCCACTGCCCATCGTAAAAGACTTATTTTACGATGGGCAGACTATTGCTCTGGAATTGTCCTGTACTCAACAGGGGCAGAAAGCTGAGGTGTGCAATAATTATGGCTTAATTCATAACATTAACTGAAATATTAATATTGTCTGGGCAGATTTATCAGGAGCTAACTTTGACCGAGACAAGTAAGAAAACCAAAACTAGAGCATGCCACAGTCCACTAAAATGCTAGCCTCTGGCTACTGACATGAACACTTCATGTTCAGGGATCACATTTGTTTTGTTCAAAGGCCCAACGCCACCCTTCAGTCACAATGCCACCAATACCTATACTACCACAGACTTCAGTAAAAGTTCTATCTTATATGTGAAAGACAGCATTGTGAGTGAAGTGTGTCACTTCCTGCTCCCATAAGCCCATGCCAGGAAACTCCCCACAGTGGCAGTAAGAGTGCCTTGATAGCATTAATATGAACAGTGTGACTATTTTGACTTCTCTAGTGTTTGAGGTTTTACCTGGACTACCCAGGTTGGGGTTTGTGTAGTCCCAGGTGTCCTGGTCGTTCTTGAACACATTCAGTCGAGTTGGCTGAGGGGGGAAAAAAAGACAAAAAAAAGGGAAAAGAATAAGCAGGCACTTATCTAGACATGAATAAGGCTGTGTCAAGTCTAGGTTCAATGCTCCGACTACATTGCAGTGTTACATTTGTACCTTTGCGTACTCGATTTTCAAAGTGCAGCAGCCGGAGTAGATGTCAGCACCGTTGAGTGAAGCCTTTGCCCTCTGAGCACTTTGTACAGAGTCAAACGTAATTAGCAGGGTTAAGTAAAATATATGATGTGCAATAGAGATCATTTTAATTCCAACTGTCAGAAATATGTGTGCTAAGCCTGTTAGGATAAAAAGAACATGACGCTTGAGTTTTCCTCAACTATGACAGACATGCACTGAGTTGTCAGTTGTTATCATTAAAAATGACGATAAACAATGATGACAGCACTTGTCAAACTCGTTAAAGGATATTCCACCATTGCTTGGACACCGTTTTTCCGGAAAATAACGATTCTCTGGACTGGACCACAGTTGTTGCAGATCGTGTACAAAACATCCTGTGAACATAAAACAAGTTCAAAACCACTGAGTGAACAAGTTTCAAGTCAAGTCAGTGGAGTACAAATTATATAAAACAAATAAGCTTGATAACATGTTGATGACACTACATTAACCTTTAACACACAGCGACTGTATTGGTGCTGGGAAAAGCCACAGCGAAGCTTCATTTACCGTTGTGATGGGGTAGATGGGGTTCATGATGGTGAACAGAAGGATGCTGTTAACACTTCTGGAGTCATCAGAGTCACCGGGTCTGGAGATTTTCTGGCTGGTGGAGTAGTTGATAAAAGCCGGATGTCCTGCGATGTAGACCTGGTTGTCTGCAGCGTAGGTCACAGCTGTGGAGGATCCGTTCATGTCTTCATACTCCACAAGTGCCTGGCGCTTTTTAGGCATAACCACCACATAGCTTAAAACAAAAGCATCATTGTGTTTAGACAAAAAACAAAAACTGAACAGAAAACACATTTGGATTCAGTTTTCAGGCTGTAACTGCACAAAGACTATATACAGTTATATAAATGTCCTTTCCATAAAACCCTTGTACACAAATATTGCTTCTATTTTACCTGATTGATCCAAACTCTTGCAGAGCTTCCACAAGATCAGCTTCTGTAACACCGTCGACCAGCCCACGGACATGGACCACCACAGATGGAAGGGTCTTGTGTGGGTCGTCATATCCCTGTAAAATATTAAAAAGCGTTGAAATTTCTGGCCGCTTTAAAAAAATGTAATTATATATGCTTCAGCACTAAGATTAATCATTTTTGTAATTATACACCACTCTGTACATGCTTCAGCACTAAGATTAATCATTTTCTTTAGATTTAATTAATTTATTTGTTGTTGTTCTTTACTCGAACCTGAAGCCTTCTGGACCCAAGTCCGCTTCCTTAACCACTAAGCCACAACTGCCCACAGTTTTAATGACTTTTACCACATTCTAAAACAGAAATATCAACTATTAGTTCTGCAAGTGTAGGAATACACAAACAACGATCTGAAAAACACTGTTAATAAGAATGTTTTTCTGTGATTGTGACTGCAAGCATATATGCAGGAAAGAAAAATAAGGAAAAGGATTTGGGGAGAGGTGGTTCAAGTGTTTATATAGAATATTTAATATTTTATATACATCAACGCTCTACTAAAGCATTTTGATTTTTATTTATACATTTTCTAAATGTCCTCTCGATAAATTTACTAATATCGTGATGGTTTTTTTTTAATGTGATTACACCAGCTGTTGCCGACACCGATGCTGGTGAACAAGGCCAGGTTACCCAAGGTAGAAGGGGGATGGGCTTTTTAACACTGTTTGTTGGGGTGCATAAAACATTTATTATATATTATATAACGTTATTTAGACACATTGACGACTAATCGCTTAAAAAAAAACAGACCAGATAAAATTCCGATGTCGCCGACCTTCATTACTTGCCCGCCGTTAGCAGATAGCAGCTACCTAGCAATACAAGTTCTGGAACAAAGCCGGGGACAGGCGAGGCCACAGCAGCTAAACGCCATCACGGGAGCGTACTTAGAGCACTCTACATAACTTGAGCCTCCCGAATGCAAATAACAACCATAGTTCGTGGTAGACACACCGTGTGAAACAACTGAGAGATGAATAACCAGTGGCTAACCGAGGCCCCGTGACAATTTGATACGATGTGTGTAAAATTTATGAATTAAAGTCTATGTAGGTGGCTAAAAACGATATGTGTTCTTAGTAATGCCGAAGAAATTAATGCACAGAACCACTCACCGTGGCCATTCCGTCCGTTTTCTGTCGCTTTGTGGCCCTACCGTCCTCGCTGTAATAACGACCCGCAGCAGTAGCCATGTTGTCCGGGTTAAAAGGCTGTCGGTTGTGAAGAGCGTAGAAAGGAGTCTCAATGCTGACGCATTTCCTTTAGCTTATCGATTTTCTAACGTTATCCATTTATTTTGCAGCACAAAAAAAAGTATGCAACCTTTATTTTATGCAAATACTTTAAAAAAAAAAAAAAAAAACACCACAATTTCAGAGAGTCTTACGATGATAGCAATCGATATTTAACCATAACAAACAACACGCTGATGATTATTGAGCTTCGAGGTTCTTGAAAAACCCTCCAGGAAGTAGGTTTGATATGGACGAGCCTCCCTTGGATGACTAAAAATACTCTATGTATTATGATCCACTTTCCAGTGACTATCACGTTCTTTTGCGGTTTTGCTCCAAATGTCGACCTTTACGCATATATTCCATCTGCAGTCACTTCCTCAACACAGTATTATATTAAGTTTAATTATATAATTTGTTTTATAAATGAAAAAAAAAGTCAACATAAGTTTCAATGACTAAAGTTCTGTACCATAAAGAAAAAAGGCCTTTCAAATGTATGACCTCATTATCAGTGACTGCCTACTGTCTACATCCATCTTCTATTGAAAATGTCTGCAAAACCATGCAACCAGCAAGTGTTGAACAATCCTTTATAAAGGACCGCAATGTTTTTTTCAGTAATCTAGCAAGCTAGTATTCACAGGACCTTTTTATCAAGTAGTTATTTTTTTACTTGCAATAGTTTCAAGTTATTTACTTCTTGCTTGGAAAGAAAACAAAACAAACACAAGCCACAGGGCTATGATTAGGGTTTATTCAAAAATAAAACTGTTTAATCACAGAGGCCAGTAACTGAACCAAACATGTAGAATAACCCTCAGAATCATACTACAGCACTGTTGTTTACTTTAAAACTACAAGTCTCTGGAAGAACTGATGAACCTACACATAACCAATAGTGAGCAGTGCAGCACAGAAACATTTGGAATGTGGCAATTCAAGGGCATGCATGCTAATGGTTTATTTTTGTCACTTCGAGGGAAAAAAATGAATTTTTTTTTACTTAACCTTTCACACAACTTAAACAGAGTGAAATCAAATAAATTGGTTTAGAGTCTGGGAAAGGCTTTAAGCATGTAAAAGCTTCTTTGATTTCCTTACCTCCATCATCCAGGTATTCCTCTTTTTTTTTGAATGAACAGTCTCTGCTAAAAGTCAAACTGCAACATTCACTGTCACCTTTACACCTTTTAGAAAACAGGACACGAGGCAGCAGCAGTGCACTTAAAACAATCTCATGAAACCACGTTGTCAGGTGAACTGACTTTAGTTTTGACTATAAGGCTGTATTTAACACAGTCCTGCATCAACAACAGAACACAAGAAAAAACAAAAAACACTTCAGAAGGGCTAAAAAAAAAATTAAACAAAACAAAACAAAACAAAAAATAGACGTGATGCAGTGTGCCATGTGATTGTGTGTGTGTGTGTCTGTGTAAAGGGCATCGATGCTCAGTCTTCTGCTGGCGTAGGGCTTCGGTGTGGGTGTGGACTTCCTGAACGGGAACGACTGAAACAGAAACAGACAAGTGTTAGCTTGCCACAAAGACAGAACAAACAAGTACACAATTTCTCTGAATGACTAAGCTGAAACACATCTAACCTGAAATGTATCCATTTCTGGGGCTCTAAAAAAAATGTTTTTCTTTTAAATATTTATTTTAAAAAGTGTTAAGAATTTAGTTGATATCAAACTGAAAAAGTGAAGTGCATCAGATCAATCACTTTCAAGATAACGTCATAAGTGCACGACAGTGACTTCTGCTGGTCCTTAGACCACAAAAGACTCTGCCACAGACGAAAAATAAAGGATTGAAAATAACGTTAGTGTCTGAGAAAGCCTCTCAAATACTAATCCCATAAACTCTTTCGTCATTCCCACACACTATGTATCCACACACTGTACATGCATGTTAAAGGTGGTGTGCACCTATTACTACAGCTGTATTGCGCTACAACACTCCCCACAGTCCTGAAAGAAACCCAAGTAAGCACAGCATTAAACATCATTCATTTACTCGCCAGGAGAGAGAAATACTTTGAGGTCAAGTACTGATCTTTTAGAAGATATTTTTTAAACAAGCCAGTAAGGCTGCGATCAATGACTTTAACTAGTCTCACAATATAACATGCAACATAATCTCCAGACTTGGAATAATGAAAATCCATTGTGAATGTCAATAGCCAATGCTGCATTTTCCATGCCTCAGGTGCAACATTAGCAGTGGAAGTGGCAGAAAAGTTAGGAATGCATACAGAACTATACTGCAATTGACCAGTGACTCTTACTGATTCTCAAAGCTGTTCCATAAAAAAATTAAATTCTGCATGACCAGGTTAGTTTATTTAGGACAAGCAATTTTTATGCTAACAGTTGATAGCTTAGTTAGTATTAAAGCCAAGTGTAAAACAAATCTCCTCTAAATTAAAGCAGAATATTAAACAATGAAATGTATTGACTTAAGGTCGTGCTGCAAACAGTAAATCAGGCTAGACTGTGGAAGCATGGAGTTCTGAACCTCAGCATCATGCGCTTTATAAAGCAAAGGAAATATGACAGGGAACAGGACCAGAAGCCACTGGCCTACAGTAGAGATAGAACACTTCTGGTGTGGGTTAGTTTCATACCCAGCCACGTTAGGACAGATAGCTTGATTTTCCTCTCCTTGTGAAAATAATGGCAAGTGAAAGAATGAAGTTCAATGCTAGATTAGATTAAAAAAAAAAGACACAGGAGCTAACACCTGCATGACTATTACCAAGAAAACAGGTTTGAATAATATACTTAAACTCTACAATCACCACTTATTTTAACTGACCATATAATGTCTGAATTTTTATTTAACATGATCTTGTCAGGGGGGGTTGATTTTTGGTTACCTTTGGAGACAGTGGCAGAAACAACAAGTACAGAGAAGCGAAGGATGAAAGGGCGGATGACTACAACTTGGAGAGACACTGCGCTGCGAGGCTCTTGAAGACTGATCTCTCGTCAGCTCTCTTTCAGAAGCTAAGTCAGAGGCGGAAGAACTCTGGTAGGTACGTAGGGGGTCTGGTAGATAGGTAATGGTTTAAAAGAACAAAAAGGTCGAACTCTGATCTGTGTGGATCAGCCCTCTGGTAGACCTGAAGGCTTGTTGGTTGGGTGACTCTAGTAGAACAACTCTATGTGTGCGCGGGGATGATCTCGTCTTAGCGTGTGCGTTGGCTGAATAGACGGGTCACTCATTCACTGTGGGTAGGATTCGGTCGGTAGGTCGACCTCTGTCACGCTGTCTAACACCAGATGCAGACGAAGGCTGATCTCAGCTCAGAACTTAAGTCACCCTCCTGCAGGTCGTACACACCGCCAGCTAGCAGACCCTGGGCCTGGGATCAGCTGCGGTGTCAGTGCAGTGGTCAGCTCCCACCACACGCTTTAAAGAAAATATGAAAAATAAACAAAACTGCTGCAAAATATTTTAAGTTACACCAATGGTGTTGGTCTACCCTATTTTTCTGTATCTAGCCAATTTAGTATAAAAAAGGAACTGACGTTTTTACTTTAAAGTAATTAAAAACAATATAAAGTGCTAAGTGTATGTCAGTAATTCTCTCTTCTCTTGCATCTAGTATTACAAGTTAAACTTAAAGACAGGCAGATACAAAAAATAGAAATGGTTTAAATGGTTTTAGCTGCTTAAAGTGTTAACAGTTAAAATACTGAACTGACTCTAAATCAAAATAAACTTTTGCAATGATGATCATGATGTAACACCAATTAAAATATTAAGAGAGTCCTAGCTAGAAGTGCAAACCTTTCTTGGATAAAATAGATTTCTAATCTTTCATTTGCCTTTTTCCTTACAGACAACATCAGAAGCAGAAGAAAGAAGACACACACGTCCCCCTTGTCCTGGTGGAGGAAGTCTCCGCCCCGCAATCGTCTTTGATGGTTGTTTCACGTCAGGTTGTAGGTCCACAGTGGAGGATGATCTATGTCCAACAATCAATCTATACCTACCTACCATAGAGCACCTTTCTCTAAAAAGACTGTTCTTTTCTAAGAATAGGACAATAATTGCTGACATTTAAGATACAATGTGAATAACTGGGGTCTCACTAGGGGTCCATTCTATCATGTAAATGTCTTAAGAAACAGTAACTAATTTAATCAAACAGCCTACAGTGAGTTTTAGTTGACTGAAAAAGTTGGATTGGAGATTTTACCTTGCTCTTTTGTGATTGGCTGATGGTGATCTGGAGCGAGAGCGGGAAAACGAGCGCCTTGGAGCAGAGCCAGAACGAGAGCGAGACCTGGATCGACTATGAGAAAAGAAACGTTACTTAAATTCACATGAAAGGCAACATGTTTCTATGTCTTCATATTTAAAGTCTGTTATGTCACAACGTCCACCAGTAACTCCAAATTGCAGTGCTTAGAACACACAACCCACCTTCTTGCAGCACTTCTGGAACGGGCGGGGGAGCCAGACCTGATATCATAGGGAATAAAATCTGTTAAATTACTTCTTTACAAAGTTGAAACCTGAAGCTCTTAGTATTAGTTTTATAAAAAAATACACACCTGCTCCTGCGGCGGTTGTAAGAAGGTGATCTGCGGCGGCTCCTGTATAGGTGAGAAAAACCTTAACCACAAAGCCCAAACTATATTTGACATTAGATAAAAGGGAAAAAGATCAGATTTCAAGGCGTACACCAAACCCAAGTGTTTTGAATCCAACTTACCTGCTACGGCTACGAGAATGAGAGCGGTAACGGCGGCCACGAGACCTAGACCTGGAGCGTGAGCGTGAATGAGAACGGGACCTGGAATACAAACATTTTTTTTACAATTGTCCATTACCTCATTTACTAATGGGGATTATATTTACGCACATGAAAAGCACTTGATGAAAATACAAGTCTGATTTTACCTGCTGCGACGGCCTCTTTTGCTAAAACGATAGCAGTCATAAGCATAATGGCCCCTGTCCCCACATTGGTAACAACGATCATTGGGGTCAAACTGGCGTCGACTGGGGCGACCACGGCCTTTTCTGGACATGCCTGTCGACATCTCAACACGAACACGAGATCCACAGAGCAGCCTGGTTGGGGAAAAACAGGGAAATGAAAATTAGTTTTTGGTTTCCAGCTAAAACCTAAAGCACTACCTAAACACATGACGACTTTAACGTGATAACTTACTTTCCGTCCATGCCTTTCACCGCGTCCTCTGCATCCCGTGGATCCTCAAACTCCACAAAGGCAAACCCAGGTGGGTTTCTCGCCACCCAGACACTCCTTAGTGGACCATAGTAACTGAACGCTCGTTCCAGCTCACCCTTGGCCGCACCATTACCCAAGTCACCCACATACACTTTGCAGTCGGTGGCCCGAGACGAGCTACGATAGTGGGACATTGTTTTCTTATCTGTTGGAGAATTGGAATTTCTAGGATTACTGAAAAATACTTTGTACCATCCATCTACATGTCAACATTTTACGCACAGTAAAAAGACATTCCAAACAGTAACGTGTGAACTAATACTTCCTGCACCGCAAAAAGGGTGAAGCTTGCTAATCCGGTTGGTCCGTTTTTACGTTTCAATAACCATAAAAATACAATTTAAGTTCTAGATCTCCAAAACTGCATTACAATATGAAATTACATTATTATTACCATCTTTACAGAGGCACATTTATTAAGAAAAAAATACTCAACCTCTCTCGTTGAGAAATGGTTAGTAAACTCGGACGGCTTCAACGCCTTAGGGTATTTTTTTTTTCTTGCAGCGTTTTAGATAGGACTTAATTTATTTGATCACATTACATCATGGTTCCGTTCTTTTGCAGGTGCAGCTGTTTAACATGGCCTCTCCCGCTTGTCTGCGGCCTTGCAGAAATGGCGGTTTATGCCATACAAATAAATAATAGTAAATTATACCCGGTATTTAACTGTGTAAAGACATTTGTTTACTAAATCAATTACCAATCATGTATTGTTATATCACAACATGGTAAATACACGTGTGATACACTGCCTTATTGCATTCCGTAGATATCGTCAAACCGTTTGTGGAGTCGTTAACGTTTGACTAAATCAACAAAACCTTTGTTGGTATTATTTAAACCATTAGTTCATCTACACCACCTTAAATCAACTAAAGAGGCTACATTTAGTGTATGAAAACAAAGCAAGTACATGAGTAAATTAGCAGTAGTAAGTCTCGCTCCTAGCCCGCTGATAAACAATGGCGGACGCACGCGTGAGTGCTAACGTTACCTTTCCTCCGTTGTTTCGGTGTCGGTGTGTCACAGGTTTCAATGCAAGTGGAACTCCGGTCCCTTGAAAGAAAAGTCGGTGTCTTGTTTTATTTTAAATGTCTCTTTCAAAGAGCTTCGCCGCAGACAACCGCGACAGCGACCCTTTCTTCGTCTAAGCCGCTAGCAACCGGGAGCAGCAACCAACTACTAAATTCAGAAACCACGTGACTTCCGCTTACGCGCTTAGAGTATTTCCGGCAAAAAACAAAACATACCAGTACTTTCTGATTGCTCTTGCCCCCCTAAATTAACTTTAAATTTTCTATTATGTTATCTTTATGTACACTTCCTCTCTCCTTTTTCTTTTCATCTCACCATTTCTCCCAATGACTTTTTATTAGCTTCATTCTCTTCATTGTTTTCTTCATCTGCCTTTTTAATCATCTTTCGCAGCCATTTGCCCCCCCCTTACTTTACCATTTTCATCTTTCATTTCAATCTCTTCCATTTTTTAATAACTGTCGCTTTCCTTCCTTTCTTCTTGCTAAGTTTTTTTCCGTGTATTTC